AATTTATTCTGGTGAAGGTAAGAAATTGCAAGAAACTATTGTTTCCATTTTGGATCCATATCTGGATCAAAATTATCACGTTTATGAAGATAATTTTTATAACAGTGTGGCAACTGCAGAATACCCACTTTCAAGGAAAGTACGTATTTGTGGTACAATTAGGGTGAACAGAGGCCTTCCTCCAGATCTGAAAGAGGAATGTAAATCCCTGAAACGTGGTGACACCACATTCAGGAGGAAGGGGGACATTCTTCTTCAGTCCTGGAAGGATACTCGTGTTGTGAATATGATTTCCACTATTCACAATTCGAGCATGGTCGATGTTCAAAGACAACACGGGCAAGTGAAGAAGAAGCCTCTTTGTATTTCTCAGTACAATATGTTCATGAAGGGAGTTGATAGAGCCGATACTTGGCCTATTATTCCCTTCCTAGGAAAACAGTAAAATGGACGAAGAAAGTTGCCTTGTGGCTTATAAATTGTGCCCTTTTCAATTCATTTTTGGTTTTCAAAGAGCTAAACGAAAATTCAACTTTGAAATACAAGGCATTTCTCATGAATGTGGCAAAAGCCTGGGCTACAGACCTCACGGTGACGGCAGAACCTGCGTCAGACACAGACATAGTATGACCGGGACCATCTACTCCCACACCACGGAGGCCTCATATGGACCCCCCTGGGCGACTCTCGGGTGATATGCGGAAACATACCCTCGTGAAAATTGTGATGAGTGAACAATCGACGGGGAAGTATCCTTCTAGGCAGTGCCATGTGTGTGCTGTGCACAAGAAGCAAAGCAAGACTTCTTACGTCTGCAAGTTCTGCGTCATGCCTCTTCACAGAGGGGAATGTTTCCAGAAATATCACACTCTCAAGCACTTGTAGGAGCTCTGGTAAGTCTTCTCCAAAAATTTTAGTTCATAGAATTAATTAGGAGATTTTATATTAATTTTTAAAGTGAACAGTGCACAAGTTAGGGTAGTAGGTATAAAAATGCTGGTCCCCAGGGTGATTTAAATATTTAAATTGCCGGTCCGCAAAGTGTTAAGCTATTATGCATAATTTTTTCAAGTATTTTAGAGAAAATAATTATCAGTCAAATTGGCCTGTAGTTTGACATACTAGTCTTGTCTCCTTTTTTATATAGTGGTCTTACTACTGAAGTCTTAAGACGATCAGGAAAGATTCCTGTGGATAATGAGTGATTACAGCTGTGAGTTAATGGGCTACTGATTAGAGATGCACAAACTTTTAAAATTTTATTTGTTATTCCGTCATAACCTGAGGAGTTTTTTTGTTTTGAGGGAATGTATTATACTTTTTATTTCAGTTTCAGGGGTTGGAATTGTTTTAATACCAAGGAATTTTCTAGAAAATGCCTCTCTTAAAAATGAAATGACATTATCTCCTACTTCCTGATGCAAGTTTAGATTTTCTGTAATTGTTAGAAAAAAGTATTGAAGGCATCTGCAATTTCTCCTGGGTCCTCAACTTTTTCATCATTTATAAGGAGAGATGGTACCTGCTCAGTCAGATGGGATTTTCCTGTATTATACTACTCTGTCCAAAAAGAATCCGACCTTGGGCCGGGAAAAAAAGTTCTGTGTCTGGGTGGTTACAATACCTAATCGCCTTCAAAGTAGGCCCCTTGTGACTCCACACACGCTTAGTCCAGCGGTCCTTCCATCGCTGGAAGCAATTCTGGAAGGCTTCTTTTGGAATGGTGTGCAGCTCTGCCATCACGTTCTGTATGATGTCCTCGTGGCTGTCAAAACGGCAGCCTTTTAGCGGTGTCTTCAATCTCGGGAACAGCCAGAAATCACAAGGAGCCATGTCAAGAGAGTAGGGAGCCTGGCGAACCTGCGGAATGCCGTGCTTGGCCAGGAAACCCTGGATCAGGTGTGATGAATGAGCCGGGGCGTTGTCATGATGCAGCTTCCAGTTGTGTGCGTCTCACAGATCCGGTCTTTTGCGCTGAACTGCATCACGAAGATGGTGGAGGACTACTTGGCAGTACTCCTTATTGACAGTCTGGCCTAGTGGTGCGTACTCATAATGCACAACACCCCAGTAATTGGAAAAAACAGTCATTATCACCTTCACATTGCTCCGAACCTGTCGTCCTCTTTTGGGCCTCGGGGATGTTGGATGTTTCAATTGTGATGCCTGGACCTTGGTTTCCAGGTCATACCCGTACATCCACGACTCGTCACCAGTAATCACAGTCTTCAGGAACTCAGGATCCCTGTTGGCACACTCCAACATGTCCTGCGTGACCTCAAGACGGAGTTATTGCTGCTCCGGCGAAAGCAGCTTGGGCACATATTTTACTGCCACTCTTTGCATGCCCAAATCCTCAGTTAAAATTGTGTTTGCGGAACCTCTGCCGATTCCAGCCTCATCAGCAACTTAATGGATGGCCAAACGACGGTCTTTCATGATCAGTGTCTTCACTTTTTCAATGACATCAGCATTGACGGTCTCCCAGAACGCTGCTCACTGTCCACCGACATACGACCATGTTTAAAGCGGTTGAACCACTCTTTAATTTGAGCAACCCCTATTGCATCGTCGCTGAAAGCCTGCTGAATTTTGCGAATTGTTTCCGCTTGGGTATCCCCAAGTTTCTGACAAAACTTAATGCAGTATTGCTGCTCCAAGCATTCTGTCATCTTGAGTGAAACGAGAATGCGATGAACACGTGTTACACCACTTCGCTACCTGGCAGCCACAGATGCATCCGGCAGTGTTGAGAGTTAGCAAAAAATCATGCATGCGCATGAAAGTCCCTTCTACCACTACACTCAGTTTCCCCACCCCTTTGACCATTACTTACAGCGGAAAAAAATAGAGTCGGATACTTTTTGGACATACGTTATTCCAGGTTGTTTTTATCTGATTATTCAATTTTGCTACAAGTTTACAGTAATGCTGCCTTTTAGTCTCTTTTATAACTC